GCCAGAGCCTTCACTATCCTGAATATGAGTTTAACCTGAGATTTGGGGTGCCAGACCTGGAGGGGGTGGGTGTCGGGGGAGGGTAGAACACCCACTTACATTTGCCTGTCAAATAAGTAACTTGTTAACTTAAATCTGCTCCAGATATTGCCTGGAGCATACCTAACTGGGCACCCTGGATGTGACCTGGCCGCCCCACCATGGAGCGTCTCCGGTTCTGCCGGGGAGCAGAGGCAGGACACTGGCCTCCCTTGCAGCTGCACGTGGCCAAGAAAGCAGGGCCAGCCAGTGACCTGGAGTGGTCATCAACCAAGGTTTCCAGAAAGCCTCCTGGCCGGGGGTGGAGGCAGGGAGAGCCTGTCCGCCCCCCTTCCTGTTATTGGAAGCCCACAGGAGAGCTGACTGCAAACAGCTGCTGCACCAGAAGCCAGAGAGCTCCGTGATGACACTGAGGAATGGGACACTGGGGTTGGGACAGCCTGGCACTGCCACCTCCAGACACCTTCTCCGGAGGAGAATAACAATCTCTGTGTGTTTCCTTTGTATCGTTTCGAGCTTTCCCATCAGTATAGCTACCCCTCGTCCCCACTGGAACCAGTCTCCTCCCCGCTCCTGCCAGGCCTGCAGCCCACGCCCTGCAGCCTGCCTGTCCTCAGGCAGACCCCTGGACCGCCTGTTGACCGGTACCCGCAGAAGGTGCACATCTCTGGACAACGAGCCTCCACCTTGCAGCTGAGGCTCCAGGAGCAGGCTTGTAACGCAGGCCACTCTGTGTTCTTATGCTTTCTGGTCATCTGGAAGTGGACCAGCAACGGCCAGCATAGAAGCCTTGAAAATACAAATAATACACATGAGAAAAAATTGTCATCTGAGAAAAGTGTCTCTATGAATCTGGTGTTTTCTGGGCTCTAAGAAGAGGTCTCATAGCTCCCATGGGTGCAATCGCATGGCCCCATCTGGCCAGCTTCGAGGGAGCACCTGTGGCCGTTGGGAGGGCTTAGCCTGTGGTTTCCTCAGCTCTGTCCCACCGGTCCTGTTATTTGAACCTTACAAACCCCCCCCCCGGCAGCAGTGACCTGGCTGCCTCAAAAACTTTCAAGCGAAGGGCATGAACACTCCAAGTGACCCAGGGCCCCGTGGTAAACCTGCCAGCCACCATACTCCTGGTCTGTCTCCTCTGCCTTCCCTGGGGGTCTTGCTCAGGAATTAGTCTTGTCTTGTCTAATTCACATGTTCTACATGGTGAGTGAAAGCTAATGGCTTTGTTTTATCCCTCTTCGGTGATGTGGAAATACTACACCGGACATTCTGGATTTGTCCTGCAGGAAAAATCTCAAGTATTTTCATTATTATCATCACCCAGACATTAAAACTTGTACACCAGACTAAGCAAGAACTCCCCTAGACTGCCTCACTCGCTTCTCTCAGCCACCTCGTGGGGCAAAAAGAAAAAGTTTATCCCCATTTTACGGATGAGGAAACTGAAGCTCAAATGATGAGGGAGTTGCTCCAGGCCGTCCCTAGTGGCGGAGCGGGATTTGAACCCACTCTCTTCTCATTCCCGAAGCAATATGACCTTGATGCTGTGCCACAGAACCATAGAAGAAAGTACTGGCTGGTTGGTGGGGGCGGAGGGGTGCGGATGCTCTGGCTTCCCCTCCACGAAGGCATGACCTGCCCACTGGTGCAGCAGAGTTAAGGAGAAGGCGTAATAATCCCCCATGGTGTCTAGCATGCGACTTTCCCAGATGCCTGTCCACTTACCCTCCCCACAGCCTGGCCAGGCAGGAACCATCACCTCCATTGACCACTGAGGAAACTGAGGACAGAAAAGTGGTATGACTTGCCCAGCACCACATGGCCATTGAAAAAGCCCCACAGCCTAGAGCCTCCCGAGGACCTCACAAAGCTGTTTCTACCTTCTACCAGGGCTTCTACCTCCCGGCCCCAGGTTCTCTGCCGGACACTCTAGGCACAGGTGGGTGTGTGGTGGGCCGGAAGCAGAGCAGGCCCACACAATGGGGAAATTCCAAAAGTTCTTCGGGACGGCTCAGGTGTGGCCAGTCAGCTGCCCTCCTCAGCATCCCTCAGGGATCCTCCTCCTGACTCACGCTCTTCCTCTTCCTCCTGTGCTGCCCCCAACAACAACCAGAAACTGGGTCCCCTCCCTTCCTGAAGCCCTGCTCCCCTGGGCCGTGCAGACCCGGGACTTTTTTCCACAAACAGCCATTTCCACTCCTGTCTGCCCCTCAGGCCTGTGGGGCCTTGACAGGGAAATGCTGACTTTGAGGAGGTTAAAGGTGCTGGTGCCCGGCCTTCATCTAACAAATGGGTTGCCGTGAGGGGAGGAACTGTTGTTGTTTTTTCCTGGCCTCCGAAGAGTGGCCTGTCAGGAAGATGTAGAGGCCAGCAGGCCCCCGGCCGCGCCCCGCGGGGTGGCTGACAGACTCCAGCAGCTGCGCAGGCGCCCCGTGCCCCGCTTCTCAACACAGAACAGCCCCCCAGCCCGCCCCCAACACACCTCCACCCCGCGGCCCCTCCTGACCTCTCCACCCACCCCGCCATGACCCAGGGCCCACCTCTTCCAGGGGCAAAGGGCCAGGCGGCTGGGCCTTGCTCGTGGGGTCCCAGGGCCAGATGCGGAGGCCAGAGCAGGAATCTGGTTACAGCCTGCTGGGCCAGGCCCCCGGGAAGGTTTTCCTAAGGAAGCTGACAGCCCAGATCTTCCTCCCAGCCTCCTATGGATTCCTTCCAGAGCCCCATAGCCTAGAGCCTCCCGAGGGACCTCACAAAGCTGTTTCTGTAGAATTTCCTCCATAGAACCACATTCTCCCTTCAGAATCACAGAGGTCAAAGAGAACTTGATATGCCAAGAAAGAAGCCGCCTTTATCTATCACCCGCTCTGAACTTTGCATAAATAATTTCACGTCAAATTCTCAAATGTCTGTGGGGTGAGCATTCTGAAACTTCGGGGCCACGGACCCGCCACTTCCCAGCAGGCCACAGTCTCTCGGGGCTTCAGAGGCCTCTTCTGGAAGAGGGTGATGAGAACAGTGCCTGCTTCAGCTTTGTGGGTAAACTGGGAGAAGAGCTGACCTCCATGGTGAGGGTCCACTGTGACTCTCACCCCAGCGGAGAAAATGGAGGCTCGGAGAGGCGGCCCCGGGCATGCAGCCACCAAGTGGCAAGACTGCTATTTGAACTCAGACTTGTTGAACCCCAAAGTCTATACTAGAGAGCAGGGGAGCTGAGGACAACGCCTGGTTCTGCCTTTTTTTTAGCTGCATCGTCTCTCAGAGCCTGTGTCCTCGTCTGTAAAATTAGAACATAACCTCAACTGTGCCCACAGAGGAGAGCTGTGGAAGTCAGAGGGGGTGTAACAGCCAAGTCCTAGACACAGAGGAGAGACGAGTCTGATCTGTTAGTACAAACCCATCTCCCCTACCCACCTACAACACCCAGGCCGCCCCTTCCAGAAGACAGCGCAGCTACTCCACAGAGACTGTGTGTGTGGCCTCAGACTGCTGAGCTACGAGGCACCACGGGAACAAGCCAGGAGAGATATCACGTTAATCCATGTCCCTGTCAGACCTGGTCCTGCTCTGGACCGTGGAAACATTCAGTGGGAGACTTCTCGTCCTGTGTGTTGGGAAGTTCCTCCTTGAAGAAAGGCGTTATTCCTCCAGGGCATGGAGGTCCAGTAGACAACTGGTCGACCTGGCACTTGGCTGCCTCCTGTGATAAGCACCGGCCGGAAAGACTTAAGGGACTGTTTGCCAGACAACTCCTTTGGGGGAGTAAGTACCCCACTGATTCCTATCTTCATACTCCAGATTCTATGGACATCTGGGCTTCTGGGGGTGGAAAGGAGAAGCAGGTGAGTAAAGGTTAGGGGGGCAGGGAGCAGGTGGGGGAAGCATCTTCTCTAAGAGTCTTTCCTTTGCCGTGGAGAAAGATGACCTGAAACCCCCCTAGAAAAGAGTGTGGCTAATTGGCATGTAAGTTGGGGTTAAAGAGCGGAAGGAAGAATCTGATTGTTTTTTTAAGTTACTGAGAAAGTGAGAATGTTACTTTGGGCAGAAAGAGATCATTTTTTTCTGGAGTGTGTCTTTCTTTCTACTACAGACCATAGTGGGCCGCTGAGACTTGCAAAAAAAGATTTCTTTTAATCCACCTTCCTTTTTGCAGGCAGCAGTAGAAGGAACTTTAAATCAAATGCAATCAGCAAACTTGTCTCTTACACTTATTCACCACTTCACTCCCTGGAATTTGGCATTTGATGGATTCTGGATCTGACTTAAGGCTTTTTCCAAATCCAAGACGTGGGGAATTTTGTTAACAGTGCAATAAAATAACTTCATAGTGTTACAGGAGGCACATTAAAGAGGTTGTGTGTGCTCGCTGCTCTCCCTCCTTAAAAAAAAAAACGCAGACAATGTTTCTTTAAAAGTCTCCATCTGCAAATCCCATTAGATGTGCATATAAGGTTTCTGATGATTAATAGTTGCCTGCTCGGGTTTTGGTTGGAGGGATCGTGTGTGTGGGTTAACCCCTCCCTCTCCTCTCTCACATTTCACTTCAGAAATTTGTCACTCTCTCCCCCACCGCAGGATTTAAAAGTGTGTCTCAGCAGCCTGGGCCAGCCCTCAGCAGGCATTTGCTGCGGGCTCCGGACCGGATCCTCAGCAGCTGGTGCGTCTGGGCTGGGACAGTGAAAATGTTGAATGTCATCGGCGACCAATACACGTACAGGGGACCCCAGTAGGCAGGCTTGTTGTCGGGGGGACAGGAAGCCAGGAGTGAATTCTGACACACGTGTGCACACGCATACGTGTAGCTGGCCACATGTGTGTGCTTTAAGGAGAGACTTTAGTTTTGGTTTTTGTTTTGGTTCCTGGGGTGAATTTTCTCTTGAACATTTTTCCTTCCTATTTAATTTTTTTTTGGCATTAAAAAAATTTGAGTATTAAAGGTGTAAAGAATCAAACCTTTGAAAAGACAGGCTGCAGCGACGGCAGATGGATCCCGGGGCCAGCAGCTGCCTGAGGAGCCCACACCCCCCAGCCCCTGTCTGGGGCTGCCTTCGAAACCCCCACTCCGAAGGCAGTGGGACGTCAGGGGTACCCCACTACCCGCCAACCCCCTTCTCCTTCCACCAGAAACCAGACTTCCCGGCAACAGCGACGGCAGCGTACCCCACCTTCTCGGCCTCCTGCCTGGCGGCCACCCCACACAGCCTGCCCCAGGAGGAGCACGTCTATACTGAGCAGCACCCCGCCTTCCCTCAGCCTCCCGACTGGCACTTCCCTGTCTTGGAGGCCCGGCGCAGGCTCAACCCAGGCCCAGCTGGGGGCTCCAGGGAGATGGGGGCCGGCAGCCCAGGCCTGGTAGACAGCACAGGAGGCCCAGGTGAGGACTACGAGGTCCTTGGGAGCACTGCTAACGAGACGGAGAAAAAGTCAACCCGACGGAAAAAGGAGATTTCAGGTAGGTGGCTGAGGAACAGCTCATCATTCCTTTTCTGTGTGACCTTGGGGAGGTTGCTGCCCTCTCCGAGCCTAACAGACCTGACCATGACTTGAGAATAATACTGCCCTACCCAAACGCAGGAGACTAGATTGGTTTCTTTGGGGGATTCTCTGGTGATGGGGGTTATGTCTGGGCACCAGCGCTCCTGGGCCCCAAGAAGGATACAACAGCGAAAGAATGAAGCAGGATCCACAGTCTTGGGGGACACTTGGATGGAGCCTCTGGGTGCAGGCTGGCAAGGGCTGGAGAGAGGCTTTCCTTAATCCAGCATACCTCTGGGTCCTGCTTCTCCCCACCCAGCCCTGGCCAGCTCTGTGGCCACCTCTGGGAACCCAGAGAAATACGGTTCACTCCTCAGAGAATCAGTTGAGACAGAGGATCGGAGAACTGGGATCCTGGGTCAGGCAGAGCCAGGACCTGCATTCCCAAGAGCCTAGAGGCAGAGAAGCTAAGGCTCGGGGAAGAGAATAACGGATCGTGGGGTTCGGAACGGGCTGCCCGGGAGGTCCAGCCTGCCAATCCAGGTCAGCCCGAGCCATGGGGGCAGCTCAGCCTACATGACCCCCCATCCTCGTGAGAATCTCAGGCCCTGGGGAATCAGAGAGGCAGACAGCTGAGGGCCAGCACTGCACCTCAGAGTGCAGGTAAAGCTTCTTGCTCCGTACTGGAGCCACAAGGCCAGAGGATGGAACTGGCCTAACGTCCACCCACCCCCCGTGGGAACTTGTTTCTTCACCTGCCCACCGGGCCCTCCCCAGCTTCTCCCACCTTTGTTCACCTTTTGCCCGGCTCCCTGTCCCCACGCTGCTCTGAGCCGTGCAGCACCAGGCCTCCTGGCCCGTCCGCCTGCTGTGTCCTCTGACCTACATGGCACTGTGTTAACCCTAGAGGACCCCCCTCGGGCCGACCACGGGCAGGCACAAGGGGGCCCGCCCCTATAGCACACCCTTCACACGGGCATCAGAGTGCTCACCACGTCGGGCAGTTTCCCAAGCAACTTCTCTTTACCAAGCACTGGGGGTGCGGAGGTGAATGTGGTGGTCTCCCCCCCCCCCCCAGAGAGCTCAGGCTGAGAGCGAGGAGAGGTCCACGGGTGCCCAGCTGATAAGGAAGGTCATGTGTTAGCACTTGGGGGGCCCACAAGCTTGTGAGGAGGCACAGCAAGTCTTAGCAGTATCTCAACTCTAGAAGTGTGGGAGAGAGACAGAAAATTTGAGGAGAGCGTGGCTAGAATGGGGTCAGAAGGGTGACCCACTCCTCTCAATTTGTCCCGACTTCCGGCTTTAGCATGGAAAGTCCAGTTACCCCGGACACCCTCAGCCCCAGAAAAATTCAGACAGTTGGTCGCCTTAGAAGTGACTAACCATGGACTTTAGCTCCCGAAATCCCACATCCTCTGGTAGATTTCAAGGACAATCTTCATTTTGAAATATTTAGTCTCCAGGCCCAAAGCAGCCCCTCAAGACACTTATAATGGAGGACAGGGCCTGCCCATAGCCCCTCTGACAGGCAATAGCCAAGAGTTACCCCACTGGCTGCATCCTAAACTATTCTGCGCACTGGCTGATGATTTGTTGGGAAAGAGGCGCTTTCTGCTTCTCTTCAAGAGCTCTGTGACTCAGCTCACCTGAAGCGCTCTGCCTTCCCTGGCGCTGGCCCTGGCCACCTCTCCAAGGCTGCATCTAGCGCTGTCCAGGGAGCTGGACAGTGGGCACTGGGCAGTGGGCACACCCAAGGAGTGGGCTCCAGCACAGTCATCCTGTGCTTCGTGAGACCGCCTGTCTTTTCCTTGGTGCCAGTGCTCTGCGTTAGGGAGCAGGCTCACCTGCCCAAAAGCTGACCCCCCTAAGCGCACATGGATAGGTTTCTGCTGAGTGCCCTGCTCTGCATAGGTCAGCAGGGGCTGGGGGGCCCCAGGAGCAGCGCAATGGCAATGGCAGCCCTCACCAGAGGCAGCCGAGCCCAGGGCTAACGTCCATTCATTCTCTGTGGTGCTCGGCTCACTCCGCTCTGCCTGGAAATCTTGATCACCCTGTTGCTTCTTTGTTTGGAATTGAACCAAAGCGAAAGTGATGAGCAAGACTCACAACCAACCTCAGCCTTCTGGAAAGCAGTTCCCAAGAGATGAACTCACCCAAACACCCCGCTCCCCCACCCCACCATTCCTCAGTCACTGGTTGGATACTTTCTCTAACACTTTGATATTTCTTCATTGTGAGTTTTGGCCTTGATTTTTAAAAAAATCATTTGCATTACAATATTATTTCTCTTGACTCCTGAGATTTTGGGGACCCCTCACATTTGGCACTCAGTGCCCAACCCTGGCCCCGCTGAGCCATGGTAGCCCCGTAACCAGCAGCCGTCAGAAGTGGGCTATCCGTGGGGCTTCCCAGCTGGCAGACAGACGCAACTTCAGATTGTGTGACTTTGGAAAAGTCCTTTGCTTCTTGGATTCTCTGTTTCTGCAGCTGACAAGTGGGGTCATAATAACAGCACCTTTCATAAAGAGTTTCTGAGAAGGTTAAATGCAGGGACCCATGAGGTTAACACCACTCCTGGCCCAGGAGCTCAATAAATAGTCACTATCAATGATACGAGGGCCCTGTTTCCTGAAGCAGCCTTTAAACATAGAGTAGGACAAATTATCCCTACAATTATGGGGACAATGGGCTCAAGTATTTCAAATATACAGTCTCAGAAATTTCAGAGTTTGGGGTATAAGACATGGGAAATTCTTGCAGTCATTGTTGGCCAGTTATCATCAGGAGCTCAGAGCTCAGCCATCTGCTGGGGGGAGGGGGGTGAGTGGTACTGGCCAAGGTGCCCCATGTTGGCTGGAGGAGGAGACATTTGAAGTTTATTTCTTCTGCCAACCTCATCTGCAACCCCCCTTACACTCACTGAAAACTGGAACTGATTCGCTCAAGAAGATGATCTTTCCTGGAGATCTTCTGTTGATTCACAGCACAAAACTGATTTAGGGGAGCAGTGCGATGTTATCTCACCCCAGCCACTCCTAGCCCAGAGCAGGGGGTGTAAAAGACCCCTGCTGGGGGGGACAGCTGCGAGGCCACTGTTGTTTGCCCCCAACTGTTGTTGCTACCGTGGTTGTCGTTAATTTATGGGAAGGAGGGATTTCGCGGTGATTTCCTGACGGGGTTCAAGGGAAGGTCGAGCGTGATCAGCCTGGCTGGGTGAATCTGCTGGCTGCCATTGTGCTGGGCTCGGTGGCCAGCTGGGCTCTCACCTCCTTGGGCACGGTCCCAACTGGCCTTTGTCCCATCTTTTTCAGCTTCAACACACATGCCTCCCCAGGGCTTTTCCTCCCCCCCAGTTTCCTCTCTGTCCTTCTCCCCACCGCACCAACATCTGATCTTAACCTGCCTCTGCCCAGCTTCTCCACTTCCCAGTTTCGCCTGCGGTTTAAGAACTCTCCCCAAATTGGAGCCCTCCCCATTTCCCAGCTCATCTTCCCCAAAGGCAGGCAGGCCCCTCCGACCTCCACATGTGCTCACCTTGCCCCAAGCCACAGCAGCTTACTTCCCTTGCTGACACACCCTGCTTTTTCCTCTGAGCCCCCTCTCTCCCATTTACTGGGGTGCTAGGCTTCTCCCTCCCAACTCCCACTTGTGCCCATTAAAGTCCTGCTTATTCTCACATCCCGCTTGAAAGACACTCCCTCCAAGAAGAATTTCAGTGAAAACTGCAGTTAAGACATTTCAGGTTAGAGTAGACAGGCTGACGCTGATATTAGAAATACAGCTTGTGACTTCCCCAAGGAGTTCTGAGATTTCTTACCTTGGGAGATAGTATATTCGACATCTTTTTTTGATTGTGCTCAAGAACACAAACCATACAATTTACCATCATCCATTTTTAAATACGGTGGGGTGGTGTTGACTGTATACATTTGGTTTTTGTTAATAGCATCTAGAACTTATTCCTCTTGTACATCTAAAACTCCATATTCACTGAACAATCCCCCGACCCTAGCAGTCAGAATTCTTTGTTTCTACAAGTTTGACTACTTCAGAGACTCATATAAGAGAGGCCTCTCATTTATGAGAGGCCTTTTGTGATGAACATATTTCACTTACCAATGTTCTCAAGGTTTATCTGAATTGTAGCATATGCCAGAACCCCTTCTTTTTAAGGCTGAGTAGTATTCCTTTGCCTTCTATACCACGCTTCATCCATTCATCTGTTGATGGACACTTGAATTGCTGCTACCCCTTGACTATTATGAATAGTTCTCCAGTAAACACAGGTGTGCAAATATCTCTTGAGATCCTAAATCAATTCTTTTGGTTATACACTCAGAAGTGGGACTGCTAGATCGTATGGTAATTCTATTTTTAATTTTTTGAGGATCTTCCATTCTGTTTTCCATGCAGCTATACCATTGGATAATCCCATCGACAGTGCACAGGGTTTTAAATTCTCTATATCCTCACCACATTATATGTTTGTGTTTATGACGGTGGCCATCCTACTGGATTGTTGGTGATTTCTCATTGTGGTTTTGATTTGCATTTCCTTAGTGATTGGTAATGGAGAACATCTTTTCATGTGCATGTTGGCCATTTGTAGATCTTCTTTGGAGAAATGTCTATTCTAGTCCTTTGACCATTTTTAAATTGGGCTCTATATTTGTTGTTGATTTGTAGGTGTTCTTTATATATTAGATATAAACCCTTTGTCAGATATATGGTTCACGAATATTTTTTTCCCGTTCCACAGGTGGCCTTTTCATTCTTTCATTGTTTTCTTTGCTGAATAGAAGTTTTAAAATTCAATATAGTTCCAATTTTTATTTCTTTTGTTGCTGTGCTTTTCTGATCATATCCAAGAAATCATTGCCAAATCCAATGTCATGACATTTCCTCCTTCCCTTACCCCCTTTTTTTCTTCTAGGAGCTTTATAGTGTTAGGAATTATGTTCAGGCTTTTAATACATT